AGTTTTATTCCATTGGTTGTTTACGAAAGATAGTATCAAAGATTTTCCACGGTGGAATCAAATGGAATCAAATGGAAGGAAAAATGGTAACTTTCCGTGGCAATCATCGTAACAACCGTCGAAGTGATTTCGCAATTTTTAATACAGCAGAACGTCGATGTTAGGATATCGAGAACGGGGATAGTTTATGGTTTGCGGTGTTACGAGGTGTTTGGAGGGTAATGGTATAGGTTCTGAACTACGTTACGGAGGTTAGAAAGATAAACCGACTTGACGCGGATGTTTAACGCGATGTAACTGCGATATTAGCATGGAGTGGCAAGATGTAATTTGTAGTCGTTGCGGAGAGTAACGGTTTACGAAACCTGCCTTTTGTCGCGATTTTAGCGATACTTTCTTACGCTTATACGCTCGTTACACTTAATATTCGCTCGAATTAACGACAAATCCTACTTTTTTTCCTTTCTTCTTTTTTTTTTTTTCTTTTCATTCATCGCTATTTCAACGGTTAACTCTCAACACTCTCCATCTTATCTTCTCACACGGACTCGCACACGCGTCCAAATCAGGAAACAATAGTCTATTCACTCGATCGATCTCCTCAAACGATTTCATTCAACGCTTGATCACCAATTCCGTTTTAATTCAACCTCCATATCCTTTCCTCCCTTCCTCGTGCGTGCACGCACGATTACGGATCATCCCCACCAAATCCTATCGATGTATCGATAATAATATCTCTCAAAAAATCCTATCCATTCCACCGCGTAGAAAAGCTGGCCAAATACCTCCGCGCAAATTTCTCTTCTCCGCTCGAATGGAGATCCCTCTGCCGCCTGAATCCGGCTGAAACCGGAGGAGGAGGAGGAGGAGGAGGAAGGAGTCGTTCCGTGGCTCGATGATTCCGTGTATACACGCAACAATAGGCGGAAACGTCGGTGGGTACAAAAGGAGCATCGCGGGAGGAAGGATTGGACAGGGACGCCGATAAAGAAACCGGGCCGGATCAAAGCGTTTTCTCGAGGCTGTCTCCTACATATGGTGGCCAGATTGGTGGATAGTTACGGTGTCTGCCCATTGTAATTGGGTATCCGCGAACAGGAGGAGTTCTAAGCGCGCGATACGATCGATTTTCTCCCCCTTTTTCATTATTTTATTTATTTGGAAAGAGCGTTTCTCTTTTCTCTTCTTTTAAATCCTCATCGATCGCGCGCGGTTCGGCTTAATTGGTTCGGAACTCGAAACTGGTGGACTGGTCGCGATTAATTGGACGAGGATGTAATAATGTAACGAGGGAAAGGAGGGGTAGAGAATTCCATTGAATTTCTTTCCCGGGATTTATGGTGGTTTGTTAGATTAAGAATGGGTTGGAATGGACGGTTTATGAGGGGGTTGTGTTGTAATTTATTACTTTTGGTCGCGGAAACCAATGGAACGATATCGTTGTTATTGGTGTTGTTTCGTGTTGAAGTTAAAAATTACTTTGCCTTTGCGTATTTTCCCTTCCTCCGCCAAGATTTCGTCCAATTTTGCAATAAGACGTGTTAAGAAACATTATACGGGCTTATAGCTTCGTTATCTGTACATTATTCTCAATGTTTAACCTCGTTTAACCTTAATTACAACGTAACAGTTCAACTTGTACTCGCCTAATAGAATATTCAATATACAAATGGATTTCATTCCTCGCTGGGAATTTCGCGTTGGATAATTCTCAGTAACACGCTCAAATTTAAATATAATCTGAAACGGGGAAGAAAAGAGAGAAAAAACTCGATTAAACATCGTTATTGAACGATGTTAAACGACTAATAAGATTTTCCATATTTTTCTCTGCAACAGCGCCAACGAATACACGCGTCAAGAATGCTGAAATACGAGATCATAAATAGAAAAAAATAAATAAATCCTGCACCGTCTCGCGCAAAACATCGCATTGGCCAACAATTCAATTAGCCACGTATCCTTCTCTCTAACCGTAAATAACTGCCATTTTGGCAGAACGAGATCGCCTCGATTATGGTAATTTTCGTATCGTAATCCTCGAAAAGCTCGTAAGACGATTCGAGGGAAAAAAAAAAACGGGGAAAAGGAGAGACCTCTTCGAACGTCTGCCAATTTTTTCCTCCCTTCCCCTTTCTTCCTCGTTCCTTCTGTCTCCCAAAGTCCAGACCGGCTGTCTCATTGTCCACCAGGGCTAGATAAGCGATGTTTGCATTGCAGATCGGAGACCGATACAATCTGGCCGGCCCGTTGCCAGCTCTCCGTTCCTACGCGGCGAGAATTCGTCTCACGAGACGAATCGGCCGTTGCCGCATACGTAATAGAAATTGTAACGTCGTCGCGTCTAATTTATGACGACTACCCACGATTAGCTTGGATAACGATGCTCGTAGCTGCCAAAAGATCCGGTTGATCGACACCGTGACGAGATAAATTTATATTCTAGATCGGTTTCTCAAGTAGATACGTATATATATATATATTATTTGGAGGAATGCAGCAACTTATCAGTTTCAGATATTGTAAAACAGTTTGGAATTTAGTAGTGGTAAATTTTCATTCAGATGGTATCTCTTTTCTTTTTAACATTCTTACTTGGACATTGAGAGTGAAAACGTGTGACAGTTCATCTCGTTGTCTATTTCCAGCGGAAATTTTACTTTCTTGAAAATATGAAAGTCCTTGGCTAAGAGAGTCTCAAACGCTTTGTTCGCAATTCTGGCATCGCACGCACGCTATTAGGAAGGGCTAGTTATTTGAATATTCGAAATTGTAAAAATTACTTGTCATACTTATCGCGTTAGGATAATCATCTAATACTGGATTTATAAATTAAATTATCGTTACAAATCCTAATTAAAAATTTCTATATATCACATCGATTAATAGAATCGACAAATTAATCAGACCCGCATTCTTACAAATATCCCATCACAGTTAATCAACATTTCGTATTTACACTCACAGAAAATCCACTCGACGAAAGGTTGGAGAGCGAAACAATATAGCTGTATACAACGCATAGGAGAGCGCGGTAGAAATTTCGAGGGAGCACATCTTTATTGGCGGGAACACGCGTAACAATCAGGCCGTTAATCGAGAACCATTAATCCAGGTGATCGATAATTCAGGGATCGGGTTGAATCGTCACCGAGGGAAGGGGAGACAATGACCGGAGGAGGCCACGATAATTGGTCGATAAAGTGATAAACCGAGGGCCCGGGGATTATATTGTAACCGCGCCACCGTGTCACAGATATGCAAATGATTATTAATTATTAGCGCGTCGAACGTTGTCGACAGGTCACGAGCCCGGATCGATGCTTCTCCCGATGAATCCTCCCGGCGAGATGCCCTATGATAAAGTTTAATTAAGGAACGCATTAACGCACCGTAGGACACACTGGCCACGGGATGATGGCCGGTAAGCGCCGGTTGAACGAGCGGTTACCGAGACCAGGTGTACGGATAATTATACGTTTTCCTCGCGTCGCATGCTACCGGAATAATTAAGCAAAACTGACGATGAGCAAGCTCGCCTCCCTCTTTCCTCTCCAAACGCCGCTCGGTTTCGTGAATTTTTCATATTTCCTAGGCTGCCCCATAACGCGCCCTCTCCGAATTAACGTCGCCTTCCTCGACGAGCTCGTTGTTCTTCGGCTCATCGAGTAATCGTTCGTTGACGCGTAAACTCATCCTTTATTCTTGCTTCTTTTGCTATTGACTCGGCTCGCCGCGATAATTAATTGGTAAACACGTTTTTTCGCGTGAATTATTTGATAAGGGTAAAGGAAGATTTCTCGAGAGGATCGAATCGATGGATCTACTTAAACGAACGAAACAACGCTGTCAAACGGTATCATTCACGGGGATGATTCGCGAGAAATAATGGGAAACGCGCTTATCCGTCCAGTCAACGATGCAACGATAAAACGGCGCGTAAAAATAACCGAGAGTATTTAAATTCCAAATACCTTGTCATTCAAAATTCTAGCCACGAGCCCTACACGTGCGAACTATGAAAAGCGAAGGAACTCCATCGATCCCTCCCTCCGCCGTCTCTGGCATCGTTGGCACGTATTCCACGCGTCCGACATAAATGCTCAGCCTCGCCTAATGACGAGGTTCAGCCGATGGACACCCGATAAACGGGCAAACATCGTTCGACCATCGCTCGCAATTAAGCATCTCGCGGGCAGTTTTTCGCTATCGGCCACCGACGCGTCACCATTCGAGGGAAACGCGAGATGAATTCGAGGCGAGGATCGCGCAAGATTCCTCCATCATCGTCGTGGTGGGCATCGCGCGGCAAACGAGAGTATTGACTCATTGCGGACGGGGAAGAGAGTCGGAAGAGAGATCTCCGGGGCCAGATTACGACGGGGTACATCGGCCGGGTCGTTTCGTTACACGATTTACCCGAGGATCGACGTGCGCGCCAACCTTTTTACGACCTCCTCCTTTCCCCCATTCCGGACTCCTTGTCGCCAACTATCCGCGCCTGATTTATTCAAATTGCGCGCCCTCAACGGGAACGCTTTAAATCGCGATCGCCTTCTCCCGGAGGAGGATGTCTGAGGCGCGATGGATATCGATTCTGCCAAGAGAGAGAGATATATATATATCCCGTTTTCCCGCGAACGGATGTGTAGCTCGGGTCTGAGATTGCAGGGGAAGATAACGGAAGGATTTAGGAGGATTGGAATTTTCTTGGCGATTATTTATTCTTGAGCGTGGCTAATCGCGTTATATCGAAAAATTTTCACGAATGCTACGAAATTTTTTGTAGCATTCCCCCTTTTGTTTTACACAATTCGACAATGGAACGATGGATCCTTCGCGAAAAATAAAGTGTTGGAAGAATACGCGGATGTTCGAGATGAGTAACAGCCGCCACGTATATATTCCCGTGGCACAATAATTGCGGCAATTTAACAGACACGGAATACACGAGACGGTCGTGACCGATCCTTGAATAAAAATGGCAGTGAACATACCTTGGGGTCGAAGTTGAAGACCTGTTCGGGTCTTAGCGGACACTCGAGACCGCATTTGCAGGTTCCCACTGTTGTCAGGTACTCCTTCAGCTGATCCAGCGAACCCAGCGCTGTGCTGCTTGGACTGTAACAAGATAAAAAGATTGTTAAAAAGAGAAAAGTCATTGGAGAGAAAAGGCTTGGAAAAAGAAGGAGGAGATAAATTAGATATATTCGAACGATGATAGAACGATTATAAATTGATCGCCACGGATTCTTGTCACCGAGTAATATTTATCGCCATTTTCTTCTCGCGAAGAACCAGTTTAACACGATCGAAACGATAAATTTTCCACTTTCGCAGATCAAATTTGTCACAATATTGATATTAATGGGGATAATAATATCAATGTACGATTTGATTTGCAACCGCCACAGATACCATGTTCTCCCGAGTGGCTCTAATCGAATTTTAACACGTTCCGCGCGAGTTACGAGTTACATTTTCTATCCCACGACGGGCGATGCGAGCCTACGAGTCCGACAGAAATAGGAAGAAATACGAGTTTTCGGATATTCTCAATTTAAGCGAGTATTGGCGTTTTAAATTCCGTTTCTTCGTTCGAAGAAACTTCGATTAAACACGAAATTTCCAATCCACCGCAGGAAAAAGTATCGGATACACGATGCTCCTCCTCGATGAGGATCCTCGAATTTTATTATCTTCGCCGTATTTAATTACTCGCGTATTCGGTCCACGTTGTTCCTTTATCTCTTTGGCGCGATTAATAACGCGTTTTCCTTGACGGGAAAGGAGGATCGGTTACTGCCCACCGAGAGAGGCAATAAAACGATCGCGAGGCCACGGAGTATTACGAACTCCAATCTCTTCCACGAGAAATCCTTAAATAGAATTCCCTATCGAAGGTCGTGCGAGGGAACACGGGACGAAAATTAAAACGTCTCCTCTTTCCTTTTCTTTTCTTTTCTTTTCTTTTTTCCCCTCTCATCCACAAGTTTGAAACGTGTTCCTCCACGGTCGACGATCACCTCGAGCATCGACATCGAAGGGGATGGTGGACGACCGATATCAAAGATAAATTAACCAACTCGTAAAGAAGCTGTAGAGGCTCCAACTCGAGGGGAGTCGATGTTTTCGAGGGGAGGGGGAAGGATCGACCAAATAGGCGTTTCATAATTTCGCCGGGTGCGATGAGCTGGAAGGAGACGGTTTATTACCTACGGACATCGCTTGTTTGGCGAGAGCGGACGGTAATGGTTCGAGGACGTTTGCGAGGAATAACACCGAGGGGGATCCACCACCACCACCACGATAATTCTAACTGGCCCTGCGAAACTAAAACGGATATCGATGTCCGTAAAGGGGGACGAGTTATTGCCTTGGAACGCTGGCAAATTTTCTTGCCGGTGATCGAGGGTGTTATTACCACGATTTGTTTAACCAAAAAATCATCCATTCTGTTTTATTCGTGTTTTCGTCCATCGATCAGTCGAACCAACGAAACAATTATACATATTTCTCGTTACAATTATTAATTCATATATTTACTTTCTAAACCCAATAACGATAATACGTTCGCTTTTCTTTAAAAATATATACGAATTCGAATCACTTTGCTCTTACGTTTCAACGTTCGATTCGCAAAATAAAACACCCTCGGCGCGTGCCAAAATCCGATTCTACGCGAACGTTGTCCACGATTAACAGATTCGTTCGTCTGCCCGATCCTCGTTGCACTTTTTTTTTTACCTCGAATTAGCATTTCCGTTACACACGGCGACAGCAACAGCCGCCGGTAATTGAAATTCCGCGATAATTAATCCGGCCGTTGTAAACGAAAGTCTGGCCGTCGAAGCGAAAGACGGTTTATCACCTATCGCTCTCTGACGCCGGCCTGCGATGCTTTGCAACCGACTAATTCGACCAAGGGGTCCAAGCAGCAACGGGTTGAATCAACGAGGTGAAACGGAGGCAGGGTCGCTCTGGTTGTATATTGATTACCTTGCGGAGGGACAGAGAGGACTTTGTTTCAGGGTACTTTGCAGCTTCCTAAACTAATAACCTCGGGCGCTTCATCCCGGCATTATAACCCCGAGGGAGGGCTCGCCTTCATCCCTCCCCTCCCCGATCCAGCTCCATAGGAATCCTGCCGGCAATTATTTCTCGTGACAACAAGACGAATTTGAGCTCGCGCGCTAATTTGCACCGGATTCGATTTGTTCGCCGGGTGATGCCGGCTCACCTTGTCCCTCGGTTACACACCCTTTGTCACGTGCCCGCTCTGAATTATGAAATACAGATTTTCATCTTCGTCGAGAGTTTGTCGTTATGTTATATATATATATATTTGAAGAGATCGATTAATCCCTGGAATACAAAGTCTAAACGTGATATTTGTATCAATAATGATTCTAATGCAATAGGGATTGTTAACTCGAGAGGTTCGATCGATGGAAATTTGGAATGTTTAGAATCTTGGACATAATAAGATATGTGTCGGTGATTCTACGTAATACATTCTATTGTATTCGGTGAATTGTGAAATTAGTGAAATATGTTAAACGTGGTTGCATTTGCATCAATGAGATTTTCAATAAGAATTGTTATAAGTAGCTCGAGAAGTTCGATCGATGGAAATTTGGAATGTTTATGAATCTGGAGCTTGGATATAATAAAATATGTGTCGGTGATTCTACGAATCGTAATACCATTAGATCCTATTACATTCGGTGAAATATTTGAAATATTTTTTATTGGGATAGTTTGGGGGAATTCGATCAATATATCGCAATTCATAAATCATTCTGTGAATTACGAAAATATTATATCTTCATCTTGTAAAGAGTTTCATCAGGGATTGTTATATAAGCGTAGAATCTCTCGAAATCTAGATATAATAAATTATGCTGTTTGATTTTCAATTTGTGAACTCGTGTTGTGATCATGATTGTGAAAATGATTTTACAATCTGAAGTTTAGATAAAACAAAGTTGCAAGTATATTTAAACATTGGTGGAATATCAAATATATAAACGCTGATTGTTCGCACATTCGATAAATATTTGAATGATATAATAACCACAGCTATTTATTCAATTTTCATTTTTCGATCGTTATACGTCCACTATAAATACACCGGCACGCTAATAATTAACATTTATTCGATTGTTAAATGCAAAATCAAATTTAATTACTTTTAACAACCAACAATGTGAAATATGCAAATAAAACGAATAACTAAATAGCAATATGCAATTGTTCCTACATTACAAACATTTGCATAACGCGTAGCGGGAAAAGAATGTAAAGTAAATCTAATATTAATAAGCACATATTTGAATCGTATTCAGTTCGCTATATCCGCTTCATAAATTTCAAGTTTAAACGATTACGATATGATTTACGGTATAATTTATTGCACGACCCATAAATTGTAATAATTAAAGGCAAGAAAATAATTATTCGATATCTATATTTATATATATTATACTCTTATCGCAAATTAAACATTTCCAAATAAAGTGTTTCAAATTGGACGGAGTATGAGATAAATTAGCTCTCCACTTAGTTAGCCGGCCAAATTATTCGAATCATTCCCCTATCTATCTGGAATTACATTCGGATTACTATATTATTCGCAGTAATAATGAGAGGAGAATGCTCTCTGTAGTGGAATTAACTGGATCATAAATGAAATAGTATCGGGAAAATGGTGATTGCGCGCCAGTTATGCATCTCTCTTGTTATCAGTTACATATACGTACAGTGTATAACTGGTTGGCACACTGATTAAAACCGTGATTGATCAACATTACGAAAATTCTCGGAGTAATTACTTTCCGTACTCTCTGTAAGACAAATTTGCCATCTACTCCGACTGTTAATTTCCCTCGGATTGAATTTGTCGAGGGAACACAAGAGGGGAAGGGTACCAAACTCGAATTTAACTGCCTCGTCGTTTTCAGTTTATTTTAAAACTGACGAAACAATTTTACTCTTTTCCTTTGATTCACGATACGATTTTCCTTTAGATCTATCTTCGAAAAGTATTTAACTCAAAAAAAAAAAAAAAGAAAAAAAAAAGAAAATTCTACTTAAAAGAAAAAAGAAAAAAATAGAATTACAATTCCATTAAAAATTTCACGTATCCACTTGATTCTAACGCACGGTTTTTCTTGCCGAGGTTCGAGCCAGGTTTGCGGGGAGCAAACTTTTTTCCACCCTCTTATCCCGGATTCGAAATGCAAAATCCTTGGCGATGTATCAACATTCACGGACCCAGCCTGGAATCCCAGTCTGGCGGAGAAAATAAGAATCGAGGGGCTCTCTCTTTCTTCCTTTCTTTCTCTCTCTCTCTCTCTCTCTCTCCACGTGCTCTCCATAAGGATTGAGAAAATCTTGTATCATCGGATAATATCGTAAACATTTTTATGGAGAGAAGGGAAAAAATAGTGTAAATAACGAATTCAACGCGAACGAATGAATTTTTTCTCTTTCGAAAATTGAATTTTCTTATGTATAAATGTAACAATTATTACATAAAAAAATTTCTAAGGAGGATGGATATCTTTTCCAAGCCACGATTGACAACTATATAAAAGTAAGGACCAACGCAGCTGTGCGATTCCATAAATAAGGGTTGCGAGGAGGAATCCACCCAGGAATTTTCAGTTAGCGCGTGAAGTGTGTCGAGGCGTGTTTCATGGGGAAGGCACCGAAGGTGGATGAATTATATCGGTCGGAGAGGCTGGTTAAGCTGCTTGTCCTCGAAAAGCGAATTTCTGCCGCCAACGAAGCCAGCATCACCTTTTACGACGCGCCCACCCCTCTCGGTTACACACCCTCCAAACCTTGTCGAAATCACGCGATCATTTTTGCCCTCGAACGTGCACCGCATCTTTTCTTTACAACGTAATATTGTTTCTCCTCCAAATAAAATTTTCTCGCTGTTGGAAAGCCGAATTCATCATCATCAGGTTGATAAAAGTAGAGAACTATCGATGAATTTGATTTTGACGTACGTTCGATGAACAAAGATAAAAAGCGACGATCAAATTCTTCCCTACACGAAAAGAAAATAAAACGATTTTTTGATTCTCAGTGTTTTCCAAGCATAACTTTAA